TCCCCGTCCCTTACCTTCCTTCTCCTTACCCCAGTTTCCTTTTTCGGTTGTTTGTTTTGTTTTTGGTCGGTGTTTTGTATTTTTTTTTTTTATCATGAATCTCCTGGACGCGGAGGTGACAGCGGGAGCTGGCCTGGGTCGGGGCTGCAGGTGGCCCTGGAGTTGGGGAAGCGTCTACCTCAAGGCGCTGAGCTCTCTCTCTGTCTCTCCTTTTTTCTTCCACTCCTTCCCCTTCTCACCCCAATGGCTGGAAGGAGCCTCAGCTTCCCCTGAAGCCTTGGGGAGAGGGGCAGTTTCCAACCCTCCTCACCCAGCCCTGGGAGGAGGGACCAGTGCCCACTGGCCTGCTTCTCCTCTTGTTTTTCTTTTGGGCAGTTTGATCACTGATTGAATAAGGAATGACTTGTAGATTGTGGGGCTTTTTTGTTTTTAAACCAAGAATGATTTCTCCTGCTTCCTTCTCACCCACCATCCTCCCAGACGGAATTCAAAGGCCACTTCTCAAGCAGCTTTTGGCACCTTCAGCCTCAGAATGGAATCTTAAAGACAGGAACCCCATGTCCAGGAAAGGGGATCAGGAACTTTGCCAATGATAGTGACCACAGCAAAAGCAAATAATAATAATATTAATAATAATAAAGAGAAATAAATAATAAAATAAACATAGCACAGCCCTTGTTGAGGTCAGAGGGAGAGAAGGGGGCTGCTCGGAGTTGGGTCCTTGCCTGGATTTTGACACAGCAACTTCCTGTAGTGAGCACTTTGTATGAATCGTGGACTTCCTGTTCTCAAGGCGCAGGTATTTATTCTGTAATCTGTCTAGAGCACACTCCGAAATCCAACCTTCTAATAAACATAATGGCGCAGTCCCACTCCCTGCCTCGCCTCTTACCCCACCTCCCCCAGGTCTGGGGGTCTTCAGGCACTGGTGTGGGGAGGGGTCCCTCTAGGAATGGGAGCCCTTGCCCTCCCTGCGTTGATTCTCTCCTGGGTTTAGCCTGTTACAGGCCTGTGAATGTCAGTTCATCAGGCACTAACTACATCTACTCTCAGCCTTGGGTTCATTTGATAAATATTTGCTGAGGGCCTCTCAGGCCCAGCCCCCTACTGCATGGGCCTCGGCATCTCTTTGAATTTCTGCCAACATGCTCTTAGCTAGGACAGACAAAGGAAGAAATACCTTTCTATGAGTCCTGCAAAGTTTACCTCCTTCAGTCCACAAATATTTATTAAGCATATGCTAAGCGCCAAGCACTGTGTAGGGCCAAGGGCAGAAAAGTAGGCCCTCTCTTCTTGGAATTTAGTCTAACTGAGCCTTGGCCCCCATTGGGAGGGGAGTTCAGTCTTACGCTTCCTTTGGTGACTGGAGCTCTTGGCCCTTGCCCCTGATCCTGGAGGAAGAGTAGGTGGGAAAATCTTAGGCTCTGGAGGTGTGGAGGTAGGGTAGCAAGGTGAAAAAGACATCCTACCCTCATCCCCTGTGCTGACAGAGCTTCTTGAAGTCTCTGGCATGTCTGGAAGCCTGTTAAAAGGGCCAATTCCTGGGGCCCTGCTTGGACTTAGTGGGGATCACTGAGGGCCTAGGAACCTGCATTTTAAATGTATTTAATCCCTGGTATTTCTGACACATCCTGGAGTCTGAGAAGTGCTGCCTTGAGGGACTGGACAGGCACCTGCTTGTCATAGGACCCCCTGGGGTAGAAGGAGGGGCTGGGACATACTACGCCCTCTATTAGCAAGAGTGAGGTGGGGGGAGCTGATCTTTTAAAAAGATCCCTGGTTTGTTGCCTAACACTGTATTGATCAGCTTATGCGTAAAGTAGCCTGTGCCCTTCCCTACTAGTAGGAGGGGCAACCTTTACTGGGTGCCTAGTTCGCTTTCCCCTTGTCTGGGTAGAATGAGGACCTGAACGCCTCCCACTCCAGGAAAACTAGAGCAAGACAGGGAGCTGTGGGTAAGTCCTGTGCCAGGGGTCCAAACCTCACTGACTCCTAATCACCCCTCTTCTCAGAAAAATATGGACCCAAGCTGGAGGACACAGTCCATGTCCCTTGGCCAGTTAGGCCGGCCAGACCGAAGTCTTGGTCTTGCTAATTGTCTCTGTCCTGCCATCCTGTAGAATAGAGAATGACTCAGTGTAGGGCAGGTGGACCCTTGCTTCATTGCTCCTCCTTTCCCACATTGGCAGGGAGCCAGAGCCAGGAGCAGGATGACAACAGCTGGCCTACCCCCTTCTCTTCCCCTGCACCTGTTTGGGGCTCTTGAGGGGAGGCAGATGGCTGGAGCACAGCGCCCCTCCAGCCAGCCCGGGGTGGAAGGATGCCTGGGGGCAGGTGCTGGTGGGCAGATAGACATTTAACTCCATTCATATCTGCCCTGTCTCACTGTTCCTTTCTCTGGTTGTCAGGAACCCTGGGACATCTGTGCCAAGAGTTGGGAGCCAAGTAAAAAGCTGCCCAATTTCTTTCCCACTTGGCCTAGTTTTGTTTTATCTGATGGGAGACATTCTTTCTCCAGGTGTATCAACGTGACTGGGATTTGGAGGGGAGACTGGTGGGAGCGGGATGGACTTGAACCCCACCAGGCCCCAGCTCTGAAAGCCCACTCCAGCAATTAGACACATGGGCACACAGGCTATAGGCCAAGTAGCCAGTTGTACGGAATATGGCCTGGGGTGGCTGGGCAGCCAGGGAAACTGGGAGACTCTCATCCCATCCAGCTGTCCTCAGCCACCCAGCTGTCCCTGGCTCTGCAGGAGCAGCTGTCACCCACTTCCCAAAAGGGTCAGGAGCAAAGGAGGCCCATAAAGCTGGAGCTGCCCCAGGACACAGAGTGGGCTGGAGAAGGTGTAGGGGGCCTTCCACCCCCTGCACTGGTGTGCAACTTTCACATTCACAGGCACACCTTGTGTCTCCCTCCGCTAACCGCTCAGACCCTGAGGTACCAGCTCTCACCCCCCAGGCAGTGTCCTCCCGCCTTCCCAGGGAGGCGATCACTCCTCCCCTTTGGGGGCAGGGCTGGGTGTCAGGAGCGCAGCTCCCACCCCACGGACTCGGCCCAGATGTGCAGAGCCCGCCGGGGGGTTTCCTCTCCGCCACCCCTGCTGCCCGAGCTCTTTCATGTCACTGTCCTCCCCTCCCCAGTCCCAGCCCCGGAGCCGAGCAGCTGCGCCCCGCTCCCCGCCCCCAGCCTCTCTCCCAGCTGTCTTTGGGGTGGGGCCGGGCAGCTGGGGAACAGCTGCAAGCCGTGGGGTGGGGGTGGGCTGGGGTGTCTCCTGCAACAGCCGTTAACAGCCTCAGTGCCCAGGAGGAGGTGCAAGGGGGCTGGAGGAGGGCGAGGCCTGGGGGCATGGCCAGCTCCTCTGCCCCTCCCCCATCGCATCTGGCCAGGCCAGCTGAGAACGGGGTAGACCCCAGATCAAAGCCCCCTCCCGACTTCAAAGGGCACCCTGGGGGCGGGGAGGTGGGTGGGGCAGCCGGAAACACCCTGAACAGTGAGGCTGCTGAGTCAGCGCCCCAGAGCCCTCACTGGAGGCAGAGACCCCACGTTCTAACCTCATTTCTGGGTTCTTCCAGGCCCTGTTCACATCCACCCACTCGGACCCCATGGTTGTCACCATGCCCTTTCCTCCAACGCCTTCATTTTGTCCCATCTGAGGGTGGGGGAGAACCCATAAACACTTTCAGGACTAGACCTGGCCCCTTGGGGGATTTCCTAGCCCATCCCACCTCTGCCTGCTGTAAACTTGGGGTGTAGGGAGGGAAGGGTCTAGGACATGTCCTTCCCCAACCCAGTGCTCTAGGCCTACAAAGAAAGGGGGGCTGTGGGGTAAAGAGAGAAAGAAAATTGATTCCTGGGTATCCCTGGACAGAGCTCACCACACTCAGCCCCTCTTCTAAAGTGAGGATCTCCCTACATGATTTTGGGAAACTCTTCCCTGGAGATGCTTTAGAAACAGTGGTCTCTAGAACCTAGGATCCTGGTGCTGGTTTTACAACCCTCTGAGTCCTATTTTTTCCAGTTAAAGGGGCAAGAAAAAAAACAGAGGGCACTCTTGGATTGCCCCTTCCCTATACTCTGTGCAAAAGTGCTGGGGCAAGGGCCTGGGATTAATGGCTAAGAGTCCAGAAACTTCATTGGAGGCTGAGGGGAATAGAAAATAGATCCGAGTGTGGGACAGAGGCAGCTAGGGTTGGGGCTCCTGGTGAGAGGTTATAGACCCAGGCCCAGGGGGAGCCTCGCCTTAAGAACATTAGCTTCTTCCTTCCAAGTCTTTCTTCCCTCAACACTCTACCCTGTCTGCCTACACCCAGAGGTTTCTTTCCCTTCCAGGGGAGGATGTATTCACTCTCTGCTTGAATTCCTCCAGTAACAGAGAACTTACAGCCTCAAGACACCCCTTCCACAATGAAAGCTCCTACAAATAACAAGCAGAAATCTGGTGGGTAGAGTTTTGGCCTCTACCATATTCTCTGGTGTATGAGAATCACACCCCCTGAGTGAGGGAGGCCTTTAAGAGCCGAGGGCTTCTTCCCTAAAACCCCCTGTCCCTGGCAAGGACTTGGCAACCAACTTACCCCAGAGTTCTGCACTGGGAATCTGAATGCCTCCTCCACAGGCAACCAGTTTTCTTTAATTGCTGTGTGGTTAATTCCTCTCAACTACAGCAAACTGGGATATTTATGACTTCTCCTTACACTAGATCTTCTTCAATAATTGGGTCTTTCTTGAAAGAGAACCCATCTGCTCAGTGCCATAGGTTATTTCTCACTGTTTACATTGAGGCAAGAAGAGGATGACATGTTGGGTGGGATGTGGCAGAGTTTCCAACAGCTGGTAGAGTGGGCCCTAGAGGTGGCACAGGCATCTCAGGATTGCAGGTAAGAAGTGGAAGGAGGGAGCAGGCTTCCAAGGACCAAGCGTTAAGGGTGGTATGCACTTCTAGTTCCCCTGGAAAAAATGGCAATGAGTCACTTGACATATGGATGTCCCGGCTGCCTGTGAATTGGATGTTGTCATCAGACACTCTCCATGTGTGTGCCTGCTGCAGGGCCCCGAGAAAATGGGTGGCTCAGGCCCTAATGGATAGGGCCTCTCCAGCCACACCAAATGCCATCCCCTCCAGCTGCAGCTGCCCGGGTTGCACCCATCAACTCATGCGCTTAGTCAGTCCTCCAGCAGTGGTTCCATGCCCCAGCGGCTCTACTGATCCTTTGCCTGAAGTGTCTACCTAGCCTCCAAGTCTCACCTCCCCTCTGCATCCCTCCCCACCCTCTCCAGGCAGGGAGTAATGAATGATGCATGTGAAATGCCAGGTCTGGTGCTGGCATAGGCTGCTTTCGGGGACTGATAGCTATCCCAGCATTTGTGTTCCTTTGGACCAACCACACTCCTGTGCACTTAGCGCTCTCACTTGGTATTTTAACTAATGATTTACATGTCAGGTTACAAGCTGCATAGCTTATGTGTCCAAGCAGCCTGTGCATCCCAGGAGGACATGAAATGTTAGTCATTGATTTTTCAGAGCCTAAGACAGTGCCTGTTTCATTCATTCACTCATTCATTCAACTAATAATTATTGAGGTCCTTCTGATGCTGGGCTCTATTCTAATATTGGGGATCCACCAATGAATAAAACATACAAACTCTGCCCTCTTGGAGCTACTAACTTAGTGCGGAAGAGACAGCTGACAAACAATAAATCAATAATTGTGAGTTGGTGATCAGTACTATGAAGGGAAGTAAAGCGTGGTGAGGGGGCATGGCAGTTTTTATATATGGAAGTGGTCAGGGAATGCTTTGCTGAGAAGGTGACATTCAGCGGAGATTTCAAGAATGAGGAGGCAAGATCTGGGGATATTTAGAGCAAGAGTGTTCCAGGTAGAGGGAACAGCCACCAAGGCTGGAGGCAGAAGATGCCTGTTTCAGGAACAGCAAGGGGGTGAGTGTCTGGGAAGGTGGGTGAGGGGCAGAGCAGGGACTGATGAGGTCAGAAAAGCAGGAGTGAACAGGCCAGGACATGGGGCATTGTAGGCACTCTGCTTCTGCTCAAGAGATATTTGTTGAGTGAATGAATGATGGGTGAATGAATGAATGCCACATGCCTCGGCTGTCAGGGCTCTGAGAGTCACCTAGCCATCTTCCTGGGGAGGTGGGACTCGAATCATGCTCTAAAGGAGAGGTAAGCAAAACACAAAAGAGGGGGCAGACTCCTAGGGAGGAGGTTGCTACGAGCGCAGATGCGGAAATAAAATTGTGGGAATTACGTAGGGGGACAGCAAGGATAGCTCATCTGAAGCTCAGGGTGTGTGTGAGAGCCCATGACTGATAGGTCTATAAAAGAAGTTTGAGGTCAGGTCAGGGGGGCCTTGAATAACAGGATAAATAGTTTGGCCCTGAGTGTCCCACAGCAGCGGAGCTTCCGAAGGCATCTGAGCAAGGGAACTGTGTTTTAGAACAATAGCTCTGAACACGAAGGGGGTGAACGGCCAGGCAGTGGGGGACAGGGGACCAGCTAGGAGGCAGCAGGAGATCCAAGTGAGAGAAGGTGGGGGGTCGGGGTGCAGGTTGGCCCTGGCCCAAGGAGCAGGAAGCACTGTGGCTAGGCCTCCAGGTCCTGCTGCTCAGGCCAAGGGATGGAAGCCGGGATCAGACCTGCTCCTTCTCCGCCAGCCAGCCATGGGCCCCGGAGTCAGCAGAAAACCCTGGCCCCGGGGAGGAGGCGGCGCAGAGCCAGAAGCTGCTGAGGGAGCACTGGCAGCGAGATGCCATTGTACGTCCGCAATCAAGATACTTCAGAGGAAATCAAAAGCACCAACTGGGGAAATGATGTGTACACTCTCACTCTCTCTCTCTCTCAAACACACACACCAACTTCTGCCTCCAAAATGGGTCAAGTGAAGGCTGTGGGTGTGGGCTGGGGAGGGAGGGCTGGAAGGAGAGGAGGCCCAGGGCCCCGAGCAGCCTGGGCGCCCGTGCCCACTCACCCTCCTGGCATAGGGGCTGGCAGCAGCTGCAAGGTGGGGTGGGCCGTGAGGATAAATATACACCTCCCCATGCATATGGATAATGCACACAGCTGCCCTGCCTGCTTTGCGCTCATTAGGACCAACTGTTTCAGGAGCGGTGGCAGGCGGGCGGGAGGGGGTGATGTGCCCATTCACAGACTGGGGGTAGGGGGGCTGCTTGCAGCTGTGCAGACACCTCCCCACTGCCTGGATCAGCATCTCAGCCCCTGAATGCCCCTTCCTCCTGCTTTTCCTTCCTCCCAACTTGCTGCTCTGGCATATCTGAAGGTCTCAGGGTGGGAAAGGGGCCTAGGGAGTGAGTCAGGATGAAATCCAGGCTAAATCCCCACCAGAGATGGGGGAATTGAGGGGAGAGTTGGGCTGTATTGGCCCCAGGATGGGCTGTTTCTTACAAACCAAAGTTACTTACCTCTTTCTCTCCAAATGCCATCTGTAGCATCCAGGCAGGAAAAGTGTTTCCGCCCTGTCCTCTGGAGGCCCCAGGGAAGTCCCATTCTTCTGAGGGGTGTGGGAGTGATGTGCCAGCACAGTTTCACAGGATTCTGACTTCTTGGCAGGAGGAAGGCTGAGAAAGGGAGGCTGGTGGGCTCCAGTTCTCCTGAGCAGGTCGTCCAGGTGGGACTGGGGACTAGGCTGAGGGAGGGGTGAGTGTTGAGAGCCAGGCCTGCGGAGGGGTGTGGCTGATGGTCCAGGCTGGGGACCCCAAGTATGGCTGGGCAGCTTGGCCCCACTTAAGGGCACCTGGCTGGGAGGCCCTCAGCTAGTGCTGAGGCTTGCTGCTGGTGAGGGGTATCCTCTCCCATATGGGTCAGCAGTGGTCCAGGTGACGGGCCTGTCCAGTCTCAGGAACATGCATTCTGTTAATAAGGCAAAGAAAGATGGGGCGGACCATGTGGGTGTGTGACTGCAGTCAGACCTTTCTCTTGCCCCTCCAGTGGTCTAAGTGGGCTCCTGGGAGGGCTGCCTCATCCTCCATTTTGGGCCAGGGCACTGGATGGGGGCTGCAGAGCTCTGGGGGGAAAACAGAGGCAGCCGACGCCAGGCCAGGGCCCAAAGGGAGACAACCTCCCTGGCCTCTTTCCTTTGTTGTTAGGGCGGGGCCGGGCACTGCCTGCCCCCTCTGCTGGTGGCCTCCAGAGCAGCAGCCACCTCTGGGCTCTGAGGAAGAAGGGTCTTGTGGATCCTGGAGAGGCTAGTGGCAAGGTGAGAGAAAGAGGTAGGCCTCCGGCTTGGTTTCCTGGAGCCCTGCTCCCCCACTGCTCCCAGCAGTTCCTTGTGTTCAGTCAAGATGGTGCCATGGAGAAAAATGGTCTTTCTAGCTGACGGGAATCCCAGTTCAGCCATTTCTTAGCTGTGTGGTTCTAGGCAAGTGACAACCTTAGAGAGCCTTGATTTCCTCAGCTGGGAAAGAGACAGGAATCTCCTAGGGCTACTTAAGGGATCGAATCAGGGGATGACTAACAGGTGTAGCAGTTTGCTGAGCTAAATGGTACTTCTGCCCCCAACCTTTGCAGCTCTCAGCTTCAGGTATCCCCGCAAGTTCTCTCAGAAACCAGGCCCCTCCCTGACTCAGCTTGCTCTCTGCATTTCTGTCATTAATATTTCATTTCTTTAGCAAAGGATTTTTGTCCCTGGGACACTGCTATTCACTCTGGAAAAAGAAAACTCTCCCTGCTCCTTTCTGCAGGAGGATTCCTTAGCTCCTTTTTTGAGCTCAGAAGCCAAGAGCCAAAAAGGTATCATGATATGAACTGGGGGCCTAGCAGTCGAACAGGCCTGGGTGAAAATCCTGGCTCCAGCCCATTCTTCTGGAGTGATCTTGAGCAGGTGATTCCAATTCTGTGAGCCCTATCCCCAAAGTGAAAGATAACATCTACAGTTAGTAACGTTGTTACAAGGATTAAATAAATGGTAATTGCGAAGTGCCTGGTACAAGTGGGCACCCTGATCTGACCCTGCAGGGCTGGGTTTTTGGCTGTATCACCACATGCCTGTGTGTGGCTGGTTCTGGACACACACACACACACACACACACACCCAACATGGTGCTGGACCAGCAGATTCACTGCAGGAAGCAGGAGCTCTCGCTCCCTTCTCCCTGCCTGGCTCCTCGTGCTGCAGCTTCTCTGTGTTCTGCAGTGTTGGAAAAGGAAATTACTGAACAGATTGCAATTAGGGGGGAGAAGAGGGAGAGAGAGACAGAGGCCCTAAAATGCAGCTTCACTGAGCGCTAAACTGTGTTTTTGCCCGGAGCCAATCAGGAGCCTCTGACAAGAGCCTGTTCCCACTTACAAATCTAATTGCAGGAGGTGTGGCTGGGGTGGCCCTGGGAACCCTGGAGAGAGGAAGGGGCTGCCAGCACCTCCGGGAAGGCTGCTGGCTGACTGCTTGTTGCCTTGAAACTTACAGAGCCACGTGGGAGGGGAGGTGGGTGGGCAGAGGTCTTGGGAGCCTGGATTCTAGGTTTACTGAGTTCTTGTAACAGCTACCAGTGACTTAGTAGCTACTCTGCACTAGACATCCATATCATCAGGAGAACTCCACAAGGTAGATGATTACCTCATTTTACAGGTTAGAAACTGAGGCACAGTGTCTCTACTATGTGCTAGCTGTTGCCTTATGTCTACCTTTATTTACATTAAATCTCTTTAAATTTCCTGACAACTTTAGTCCCATTTCACAGATGAAGAGGCAGTACTCAAGAAAGTAAGCAACTTGCTCAAGATCACAGAGCTGATTTATGGTTAGACAGGGATAGTCCTCTGGGTCTGGGAGACCACAGTTTAATTGTATCACACTGTCCCTTTATTGTGCAGGGCATTCTGGGTAGAGTGGCCAGATTTAGCAAAACAACAAAAACAAAAACTGGGATGGCCAGTTAAATTTGAATTTCAGATAAACAGTGACTTTTTTGGAGTATTATAAGTATGTCTTAAATATTGCATGGGATAGACTTGTATTAAAAATGATTCTTCGTTTATTTGCAATTCAAGTTTATACTGAGTGTCCTGCCATTTTCTCTGGCAACACTAGACTTTCTCTTCCTGCCTGGAGCTCCCCTCTAGTCAGCCAACAGTTCGCCTTTAAAGGTGGGCCCTTGGGGACCAGACGGGCTGATGTGTCTCCAGGCAGTGAGGCTGCCAGAGGGGAAGACAAGCGCTTCTCCAGAGGGCAGAGACCTGGCCCAGAGCCCACTCTGCCTTCTACTGTGTGACTTTGGGCAAGTCTATTTCCCTCTCTGAACCCTCCCTAAAAGAAAAATCCAGTACTGGGTACTAGGTAAATGCCAATATTGTTGCCAGTCCCAATTTCCCTAATGTCTCCCTTTTTCCTGTATGTGCAGGATGGTACAAAATACACAGTTGTGCTGCTGTGAGGACACCCAATACTTGGGACAGGGACTCCCAGGGAGCAGTGCTGGTCAGAGGAGACCCCTCTTGTGAACTTGGAAGGCTGGGGGCTGAGCCTGCTGAGAAATGGGCCATTATTGTCTTGTCTCCAGAGGGGGCAGCTTGCTGCAGCCTTTGGACCCAGGTCCCGGCCCCGCCCACACTAATGGCTCTGTGATCTTGGGCAAATTCCTTAACCCTGGCCCGTGCCTCAGTTTCCTCAACTGTGAAGTGGGGCTAATACTGCCCCATGAGCTATGTGCAGTGTCTGGTATGTAGGAGGGACTTAATAAAGGGTTATTTTTTGTGTCAGCGGTGGTGGTAAGTTACATTCTTCCAAAGGAAGCACCTTGAAGGATGCTAACCCGGGAAAGCACAAGCACATGGCAGTCCCCTCCTCTCTCCCCTCTCCCAGCGCCGGCAAAGGACACCACACTGTCCAGGCTTCCTTCGATTTAGCTAAATTTTATTTGTCAGATTTTTGACAGACGTCTAAATTATACATTGAATTTTCCACATGACCAAATACCACGTCCCTTCCTTTGATTATCATTTTCAAAAGGGACTATAAAAAAAGAATCTTTCGATGGATCAGACTGAACCCTGAAACCACATGGAGTGCAGAGCTAAAAATAAAAGGAAGTAAGAACTGGCCCCTGAGAAGGAAAGAGAAATCAAAGCAAACTCTGACGGGAATCAAGGGACGAATCCTGGTGAGGGTGACATGGTGTCACCCTCCAGGCCAGGCCGGATAAGGAGCGGCCGACAGTGAGGGTGGGGCACAGAGTGGAGCAAAAATAGCCACCGCTTTAGTCCAGAGGGGAATAAAGAAATTTGTCAAAAGCCAGGAGAGAGAGAAGTGAGAGGGAGGGAGGGAGAGGGCAGGACTGCGTCCTTCCAGCAGTTTGGGAGCTGCGGACCTTAACCCCGGCACATTTCTACCCGCCGGCAGAATCGCTGACTCTCAGCAGACATGTTCCCCAGCTCAGCCCACATCAATGACACCCTTGTTTCCATAGCAACCAAGGGAGAGTGAAGGGGAAGGGTGTGCTGCCCTGGGCGCAGGGAATCCAGCCAGAAGGAGCTGCACGGGGTAGGTCAGGAGGAGGGGAGAGGGGAGGGGAAGGAGTTTTTCCCACAACTGGTCTGAGCACGCATCCTGGGGCCCCTGTTCCAGGCCTTGCCTGTCCTCTGGCCCCCAGGCCTCTCCCCGGCACATTCAGAAGCAGTCGTGCCCAGGGCAGGTCTCACTAATAAGACTCACTGGAGGATGAGGGGGGTGGATGGGAGACCCAGACTCCCCTCTCTAGCTTCCAATCTGTCCTCTGATTGTGGCCCTGGGGGGTTGAGGCGGGGCTGGGGAGAGGAAAGGGGACTTTAGAAGTATTTTGTTTTTACAAATGGGAGCTTTCAAACTCTGCATTTTCCAGGCTTCTCTCATCTACCCTGTGAGCCCCAGGAGGGTTCTGTGGGGCTCAAAGGGAAGATGAAAGCCTGTGACATCCACAATGTCTCTGTGTCTTTAGCTGAGAAGCAAATCTGAACATTCACAGAGGCTGTTATCAGAGGAGGGCAAGTGGCTTCTGCCTGCTGGCCGAGGCACTGGGGGGGGCCCTTTCAAACAGCCCCCTAAGTTGGTGGTAAAAGAACAAAAATATTTCACAGACCATCTACTGCCCGAGTCCAAGTTCCATATCACAGTATTCCCAAATTGCAGACCTCAGAGCAGGCATTTTGCCCCTCAGATAACATCCCTGGTGCATTATTTGGAGGGAAAAACCATTTTTAAGTGTTAGAGCCACATTTCCAGCCTGACAGAAGGGAGATTTCTGGTTCCTTGTAATTCTGTTCTGCCTCCTTTCAAAGCAAGACAGATGCCTGGGTGAAGACAGACAAGCCAGAGGAGGCTGCGGGGAGCAACCAGCTCAGTGGTTTAAAAAATCTCACCTTCTTTTGTTTTGCAAGTCCTTACAGGTCTGTCCACAGCCACCCCAGGGCACCTTTTCATGTCTGGCCTTGTTAATGATTTTCACCCCAGACCGCCTTTGAAGCAGGCCAGGCTTCGGCCTCACCTGCACACCTTGGTCCAGAAAGGCAGAGTACTGAGGGCCATGGGGTGGAGTCACCCTTTCAGTCTCCTCACACACCTTGGTGGGTTTGGGAAGGGCCACCTCCCGGGATGAAAGGGCGGCTGCTCTCCTGGGACCCACCAGCCGCTAGACAGTCTCTTATTCATTCTCTGAAAACCCCTGAGCTCAGGCACCAGAACAGAGTTCAATTCAGGCGCCAAGGGATGCTCTGGCCAGATTTCCCACGTTTGAAGCCGGGGATTTCTTAAGGCTCAGGGAAACAAGCTCTTTTCGCAACATGGGGCAAGAGAAGTCTCCTGCCATTCCTCTCCAGTCAATCAACAGAGGACACATTTTGCTGAAGAGAGGCAGAAGGGACCAGCAGCTGGGGCGACTGGCTTCCCTGGGCATGGCCCCGCTCTTCCCAGCAGCAAACCCTCTCCATCTGTGAGCAGCCCACACCACCGAGTTGCCAGCACTGTAAAAATTGATCTCTTCTACAAATCGATCTGCCTGGCTTTGCTCAGTAGAGCAGGTTCATGGTAAAGCTGCATTTATTTTTAAAATCTGATAGCACTGGCCTATTGTGATCATTTAAACACAGAATTCTTTGAGCTTTAGAAATCCCTTCTATAGGACGGCCGTGGAGAAGCCAGCTAATCTCAGAGTCGGTTGCTCACTGCTCCACTGAACTGGAGAAAGCCTGTTTACGCTAGCCTGAGCCCTCCATGTGAGGGCTTTTTAAGGACCTTGTAATTTTTCTGGAATTAAACCTCCCACCTCTCCTTACATTCCAGATGTCATTACAGTCAGAAGTCCTAAGAATTTGCTTCCCTGTGAGGCTGACTGAGGGGGCTGGAAATGGGGTATGTTTCTGTGGTGACTTGTTTGCAAGAAAGGCTTTTTTTTTTCCTCTCCAAAGGGTGAGATTACATACACCATCTCCTACCTGCATGACAAGATGGTTTAATCATCTGCTATTCCTCTCCTCCCCTGCAGCGGTGTCCCACCCGGACAGGCTGCAGCCCTGGTAAAAGTCACTGACCAGCACCAGCAAATACTGTCTTGGTTTCAACACCATGGAGGGGAAATGTAAGGACAGGTCAGGAAATAAATGACCTTGGCTTCTTCCTCTTCCTCCCCTTCCCCCACTTTTTTTCCTTGGAAAAAAAAAGCCCACTGGAATTGTCTAAACTGCAATGCAATCTCTTGCTCATTTAAAAAGATCTCATTTTCTAATCATGTGCTTTGAGACATTTAATACTATTTCAATTATGCAGAGGAAATAATATAATTCCTTTATTTGAAAAATGATACTGAACCTCAGAGATCAGTTAAATCTACTGCTGGAATGGGGATTCTTTTCAAACTGTGTTGTTCCCTCTCTTCACACAGCTGTAGCTGTACACAGATGGAAAAACATTTGGTCAGAAAGCAGCAAATTAGTGTTTTTCAGGACAGAATTCAGCTCCCGCAGCTCCTGCATCTCCATTCGTCTAGATTTTATTTCTTCTTTGCATTGACATTTTTGCAGACCCAGTTCATGCCGTCCTTTGAGGGAAAGGGGCAGAGAGAGGCAGTGTTAGTTGTAAGAAAGGCACCACAGACTCCAGCCCTGGAGGGGAGTGGGCAAGGGTCCTGGGTCCTCCTCCCCAGCCACCAGCTCAGCGGGGCTTGCCTGCCCCAGGGGCCCACCTGGGTGACCAGGGACAGTGGCCTCCTGGGGAGGAGGAGGAGGGAGGCCACTGAGAGCATGGGAGAGAGAAGGGAAGGGGAGTGTCCAATGCCTGAACTTGAGATGGGTCCTCAGGAACTCCCTCTGAAAAAATAAATACGCCTGCCTGGATCCAAGGCCTGATTGAGGAGCTATCAGGACAGATTCCAGCCATTTTTGGCTTTTTCTAAAAGCTGACCTTTGCTAGGGCATTAAATTCAATAAGCCACCCTTCTGGTGCCCCAGTGTGTTTACAGTGTGACAGTGTACCCTTGGGCTAAATTAAATTTTTTTGGAAAAACAAACCAACTGCAGTGTGTGTTACTACACACACACTGGGGCAATGTGCATTTATTTCTCTTCGTGTAGCCCCACAGAAAGGTTTAAAAGGGCCTGGCCTGATTCTTGTAGCTTTAAGCACTACCAAACAGAGGGGCTGTGGAGGAGGTTCCCTTAAAGGAACAATGACCTTGAAAGCGTCCTCTCTTAGAAGGCGGGAGGAGAGGGACAGAGGTAAAAATTACACAATGCCTACAGCCACCCGGCAGGCGGCATGACTGCTCATGGATGCCAGGCCTGCCAGAGATGACCTCCTCTTCAACCCCCGTTGGAGCCATCCCAAATGCTCACCCTTTCCCCACAGTCCATCCAACCTCCAGGGGTGTGTGGAGTTCTCAGAAGCCCAGAACAAAACCAAAGGAGGCTCCTGCAACACACCCCTTTCCCCCTGCATCTGTCACACACGCTTGCTGGAGTCCCTGTCACATTTGCACATTTCAAGGCATACATGACATTCAGAGCCCCGCATTTCCTGTGACCAGGGAGCTGGTTGTTGAACCTGAACAGCTGAGACAGCTTAAAGTAATAAATATCAGCTGACACCCTCGGCCATTCGGAGCATTAATCCCATAAACAATACATCCAGCAGGCATACTATCTCCTGGCTAATCTGATCATAACCTGAATTTACAGTGATTAAAACTCCGCCAGGTGCCATCGGAGCACTTGGGTGGGAAAACCAGATAATCTGATGGCTGTCCTGGAGCAGACCTTAGGGCACGTGCCAAGAAGAGGCTGGCCAGGGCTGAAGGCACAAAGGTGGACAGCACCTGGCAGCAGTGGGGACGAGGGTCGGGGAAGGCTGTGGTGGGAGAAGGTGGACTCCGAATGCATCTCCAATTACAACTGGGTCAGCTACTTACTCTGAAAAGCTGAGGCCAATTTTGCAACCATCTTATGAAAAGGATTAATTTAAAAAGAAACATGTTTAATTCTAGGAGCTAATTGGTTTCTAGGAAAAAAAATGATCACCGGCCAGGAGGTAAAAAAGATTTTACAAATAAAGGAGGGATGAATAAGATAACGATCTTCTCTTTGCCTTCAAAGCTGAATAGCTCAGCACTTATGTAGCACTTTCCATCTTCAGGAACCCGCACAAACACCATCAAAGGTGCATACCTCAAGATTTTCTCCTCTATAGAGACTTGCAATATTTTATCAAATCATCTCAGAGAAATCAAGAGTCGTGTTCCCAAGCTATGTGAATACCGGTTTTCCCCTTGTTTTATGGCTGATTATAGAGGGGGGTGGGTTTCTTTTATTATATGTAACTGAACATGAATGCATTCAAAGAGATAAGAAAAATATTTACTCAGCTGCAGGAACCCAGCAGAACGTGGAGGGTGAGGGGCCGCTTTCTCCTGGGTATCTGTTACTGAGGCAGAGGGGATTTAAATGGCGGAGCCCTGCTGAGCGGCCAGCCGTGTCCTCCAGATGTCTGTGTGGGCCAAGGTGGCAAAGCCCTCCAGCCAGTCCTGCCAGCAGAGGGCGCTCAGAGGCAGGTCCCACCAGCTCACCTGCTACCTGGGAGTGGGTGGGGTGGGGCACTCCACACAGGGAGACTTAAGCTGCTCTGACTCAGGGAGGCTGCCCTCGCCCTGATCTAAAGTGTTTGGAGGCTGGGGAGTTGTGCCTTTCCTGTTCCTACCCAGAGGAGGACCTGAGCTGGAGGTGAGAGGGGTCTGGGAGGCAGTATTCAACGGGGAGAGGGGAGGCTGTTACCTCTTCAATCAAATCAAGCACAAGCCGTGCCAAGGTGCCCACTGTCAAGGAAAGATAACAGTGCTGTCCAAGATCCCTGAGGGGAGGGTGCATGTCGGACTGGCTTGAGGTGTTTATAGCACTTAGCCAGGTGGCTGGCCTGCAGTAGACATTTAATTTCTACCTTTTAAATTAATCCTTGTAACAAGCCAGTGAAGTAAGTACTACCAAAATTTCCACATTAGGGATGAGGAAATGGGGGCACAGAACAGTGCGTGGCAGAGGCGGGCTGTGAACCCAGGCAACCTAGCTCCAGCATCCACACTCTTTAACCACTGACCATTTCTCAATGTCTGTGGGCAAGTGCCAGAGGGAGGCACTCTGTCTCAAGCTTAAACAAGGAGCTGGGGATAGCCCTTGAGCTAGTCAAGGGAGCAATTCTAGCTTTTTCTGCCTCATGACTTCCAGCTGAATATAGGGGCGTGAGATGGAGCAGCCCCAGCCAAGCACCCTGTGTGGCTTTGCCACAGCTCTGAAGGTGGCAGAGGCTGTTTCTGGCCACTCAACACTCAAGATTCTGGGGGCTGCGAGGTATCTGTGCACGTGGGAACCTGCAGATTTACCTCGCTACGCGATCCCAGAATATTAACACTCTGCAAGCCCACCACCTCCAGCTGTACATGGAAGCTCTACATTTAGAGACAACACCGCAAGAGGAAGAACCCTCTGCTTCTCATGTTTAAATCAGCAGCCACATCACTCTGACCTTAATTGGTAAGGCTTTGATTTTTTAAAACAGATGACTGAGAAAAGGTAATTGTTTACTTGAAGTAGGTTACTGCTCTTTCTCCAAAGAAGGAAGTGAACTCATAGGTTTGTTTAATGGTTGAACTTTTACTGTCAAAAACTGGTTTGACCAAATTTCTGCACATTTGATTTTTCATCATGGGGGTGACAATCTTATGCCATATAGCATGAGCAGTCCTCCCTTTCTTCCTCCACCACACTTCCCCCTGACCACGCTTGCTGAAACTTAATTTGAATTGATTAGCTTCAATTCAATAACAGCAACTAAGGAGAGGCACTGAACCTCAAATACTGAGCTCTGTTTGGCCTCTTGGAGAGGCAGTACATTTTGCCATGTCATGATACCATTCCTTAACAACCACTGCGAAAAATATAAGGCAGCCCCTAACCATATGGATGGAAACCTACTAATCACAGGTCTCTATGGTCCAGGATTAAAGGCACGATGCCCTTTCTATGGGAAGAGTGGTCTCTGATTGCACTTCTTTTAATCTGATCTCTCTGCAAAGTATCCATCACTATTCGATGGTTGGAAGGAAGCAGTGGCAGCCATGGTTGGGTGGGCCTGGTTTTTAACGCCAGGAGGACTACACCGTCACGCTAGTAATTGCTTTAAGACGAAGGAGCTCAGGCCCTTGCTGAGCAATGCAGCCTATCCCATTGTGCCGCTGGGCCTCCGGGTCAAGGAGCAGCTTGGAGGCAGCATACATAAAATACTGCTTGCTATGAACACTTTTTCTGGTGACAAAGGGCGCTAACCAGAGAGGTAGCAAAATCACATGTCCCAAGCTTCCCTTCTTAGTCTACAGAGAGGTTTGAAAATTTAAAAATAAACCTGAGGTCTGACTTGCAGATAAGCAGTTCCATGCACACTTGGAGTCAAAAATAACTGATGCCAGGCCTAGAAAGAAGTTGTAAATGTCATTTAAAAAAAATACTGAAATTCTGTTGACATATTAAGGGAAAAGTGCCCTGGATCAAGGAAGAAGAAACAAAAACAAGACCTGGGCTAGTGCATGTTTTGGGTTCATCGGCAGGGCACTCTGAAGTACAGCTCACACCTACGGGCTCAGCCTGCTAGAGGTCCTCTGCATGCAGGTGAGACCTCTGTGAGCCGGATCATCGCTCCTGCTTGGAGACGGAAGAAAGGGGATGTGGGAGCGATGGGAAAAGAGGACGAGCACGAGGTTGGGGGCATGGAGAGTGATACCCAGGAGAACCTTCCACTAGCTCAAAGCTCTCCGGGTAGGCAGGTCTTTGTTATGACTAAGGCTAGAGATGGGGTTGAAACTGCTGATCTCTGTTTTGAAAGGAAATTCTAATGCAGTGTAACTTTAGTTAAACACACACATGCAATGTTTTACAGAGGCGATGTCTTCAAACACCTGAAACTACAACAGCCAAGGAGAGCTGTGGTTTGGGGTTTACATTCAGGTCTGCAGGTGGAGGACGGATTGATTTCTCTACACCTTTTTCTGGCTGTAAGCCAGGTCCTTTGTTCACTATTTTCTAGACACCCAGGGAAAGGAAGAGTCCCAGGGCTGGATGTTATGTACCAGCAGAGGCCCTGGCAACCCTGGCCTAGCCCCAGGGCGCAGAGGGAGGCTGCTCGAGGGGGTTGCAGGTTTTCCCTCCCTGACATTGTTCAGCTTCTTCTCTTTCCACTTTCATCTGCTTGACATAACTGGGTCTCCTCTCATCACTCCTCTGGACTATGGGGCTCTCTGCAGGCAGAGTTTCCAAGATTGATGTTCTCCTTCCACTTCTAGTGCCCTTTACCTCCGCTCTGCTCTTGACAGTTTACTATGAGAACCTGTTTTAATTACATGATGGGCTGCCTCCTTGTCAGCCAGGCAAAGAAAGACCTGTTCTGAACTCTCCTGAAGGCCTCAAAAGCCAACTTCCACACCCACAGCAGGGGACTGCCCGTTCTTGTAAAGACTGCACGTATTTGCCTTCAGAATATCCAGCAGAATGAGAGCCTGAAATCCATCCCAGGAATCACTAACTTCCATCTTCTCAAAGCCTGTGTTTAAGCTACTCAGCTGAGGAGAAGTGGTACACCTGCCTGACTGGTCCAGGGGGCGTAGCTCACCACCTAGCGGCTCTGTTCCCTCGGCTCCCCACTCAAGGGTTAGTTATCAGCAGAGGACAGGTCTCTCAAATGCATTTTGATTAAACACACACACAAACACAATGCAAATAGAAGCTCTGTTTTTAAACATCTGAAACAGTAACAGAAATTCCAGGTCTTTTTTTAACTTTTGTACATCTTCTTTCAGGGTCATTAGAGCTGTGGTGACATACTTGACCCACTTAACCTCTGATCATTTTGGTAGCTCTGCCCATCACTGATCAGCTTTCAGAGGGTAATGGGTGGGGAGGGCAGATGGGAAAATGGAATAGGAATTTAGGGAATTTTGGTCATCTTTACCCAGAATCTCCGTCTGAAAGTGATCTTATGGACATTTTTCTTTTTTAAAAATTTTAATTAATTTATTTAAAACATTGTTGTGGGGGGAAGGTAATTAGGTTTATTTATTTATTTATTTAATGGAGGTACTAGGGATTGAATCCAGGACCTCGTGCATGCTAGGCACACACTCTACCACTGAGCTACACCCTCCCCTGCTTATGGACATTTTTCTAGTGAAGTCGTTCACTTTTAGGAATACTTCAAGTGTTAATTAATATGAATCATTAAAACGCCTGCTCTTGAAATAAGCAATGCAGTAAAAAAATTCTACCTAAGTGACTCTTTACAGTGAAAACCAAGAAACTGGCTGAGTGGGCAAGAGCTCAGGTCAAAGACAGTACCTGAGAGGGACACGGTCAATCAGTGTCTCACAATGAAAAGCATTTCCACAGAAAACTCCACGACCTTTCTCCAGTCCCCAAAGGTTATCATTAAAGGACAATAGACAGCAGATTCCCTTCTTAATTAACATTTTTATTAAATAACTCATTTCAAATAATGGTTAAATTCTCTAAATTTATATCATTCTATTAACCATAATCTAATCTCATTAACCTTGAAATCCCAGTCTTAACTACCCAATTCTATACACCATGGTACTATCTACTCAACTAATTAAGTGACCTTCAAACTATTTCTCCTCTGTATAAAATCATTATTTTTCTTGCTCACGGTTCTTTGTTGGATTTCTCTTGATATCATTTCCTGTGAACCTGGTTGCTGAAGGTCCCTGATCAGGGAAGAACTTTCTAACAAAATCAAACCATACATGATGGTCTCATTTGATTCCTGCCTCCCCGCATCCTCCAACTGTCTGATAGCTCACAGCCTGTTGTTCAGCCTAAAGATCCTGTGACTTCAAGGGAACTCCATTTCTGTGGTAAACAGCCGGAACACAGAGCTCCATCCTGTCGCCTCTGCCTGGCCGGCTGTGGAGGGGTAGGGGCCAGGACGATAATGACCAGAGCTCCCTCCCAGGCTCCTCTGAGGAAGCACCCTTGACTTGAATGCCTCTCCTCTAAATACTGATTCTGGGTAACTCTAGCCCCTCCTTTTTATACCCCTAGGGCTGGCTGAAGAAACAAGAGCCTCACGGTTAATTCCGGCTTTGCTTTCTTTTCCTTTCGACACTCGGGCCAAGTGAAAATAGGTTACAGAGCTGTCAACCGCCACTTTCTCAGGAATGTGCACACAAAGTGCGTTTATCTGCTTAAGCCCCACCTTTAGAGTCCCCAACCTCAAGATGCTCTCTACTTTCCATATTTGGGTTCTGAACCATTTAGAGAGGCAGAGTCCTCTTGCTGAAGTGGTTTGTACAAACTCAAGAAAGCTACTCTCTTTTCCTGGGCCTCATCCTCACCAAAATTACCTTGGGCCTCACGAGGACCATCTTACGCACAACTGAGGGAAATACCTTAGGCAGAGTTTGATTTTTGTTCAGAAGTGAGAAGCTAAATAAAATGATCAGAGTTTACCTGTTCAAAACATCTGGGTTGTGGTATACTGGTTGGACCAGCTTGTAAATTAAGCTGAAAAATGCCCACTTAACATCTGAAAACCTGATATACGTACACATCTGTGATTCCAATATTACAGAGGAGATTTGAGAAGAATGAAACTAGCAGGTCGTCACTTTCTTTGTGGAGTGGGATTAGGGGAGAGGAAAGAACTTTTCAGTTTTTAATTTTATATAGTACCTTGATATGATTAACAATGAGAATATATTGCTTTTATAACCACAATCTAAGAAAGAAAAAAGTAAGTAAATAAGACTTAACATCTGCCTAAATCTCAGAGACTCACAGAGCTCTGGCTTCCATCGTGGGGATGCAGCCGAGGTGATCTCTGGCTACTTGCCAGACCTTCCACAACATACACCCACACCCACACCCACACCCACACAGACACACACACACACATGTGAACCAAGAGCTTCTGAGGGGCAGGTATCGGGAGAGTCTGGAGCAGGGGGTGCTTGTTTTGTGCTGACTGGTCTGCCCTCAGATCTAGAGGCCAAGCAAAGAAATGGGCCGTGGTTGTTAGTGTAACAACAAAAACAGATGGAACAACTGAAATAATTCTAGGAAGTGATTATTTGCTTGAAGTAAAAGCTGTCAGGCAGCTTTAAGACAAATCAGTGTCAAATGACTGTGGGCAGAGGGAGGGAGAATATCAGAAAGGAAATGGAAAGATGTTTAAAACGAGGCATGTGGAACATGGAGGGGTGCTTCAGAATCAAGATGTGGTCCTGGAGGGTTGACTCCAAGTGTCAGCTGGTTGGAGGCTGCTTGAGAGGAAGTATCAGAGCTGAGAGTGTTTACCATTCTTTGAGGATACAGCCTCTCAAGCTGTCTGGGTTACAATCATTTTCTAACCTAAATTAATATCAATGGGGGGGGAGCATGCTCTTTCACTACCCAGTTCCTCAGTATAAAGCACAAGGCTTTCTGTTGGCAGAAGCCTTTCCATGGGAGACCAGCCTGAACTAGCGGGAAATAGACAGCAACCCTGAGGGCAGTGGAGACAGCCAACAGGAAAAACAGGACACTTCTAGGGTAACTAGTGTGCATAATTGGTGGCTCTGTTACCTTGGAAGTACCAGTATTTAGCACCCATAATACCAGACACAACACCAAGCCCCCAACTCAATCATCAGAGAATCCTAGCATTAGAAAGCACTTCTGAAGTCTTCTGTTCTGACCTCCTCCCCAGTGGGGTAAAGCTTGTTGCTTGTGTGGGCTGGTTTATCTGTGGCTTTTCTGGAACAGTTAATGAGATCAGATTGGTTGCTAAGTAGAAAAGAACCCAATTCCTCCAGGCCCTTCACATCCGGGAATGGCTCATCTGCCCATCAAAGGCTATTTGTTTCATACCTTTTTCTATCTAGATCCGCCCAACCAATGAGACAGACTACCTTGGTTGCTATGTTGCCAGGTGACCAAGCGCTCCGGTAACCTCACCTGAACGCCCTCTCCTGTGAGAGCTGAGCAAGACTGGATCTGCCAGACTCGGTCGCGGATGGTGTGCAGATTCAGTCCTTCTGCAATTTCAGAAGCAGGGGCCGCCGTGAGCAGATCCTGCTTGTTAGCAAAGATGAGCACTGGCACACAACTTAGCTTTTCTTCCTCCAGTAATTCAGCTAGTTCCTGGATTATTGGAGAATAGATGGGGAGGGAAGAATGAAATCTATGATATTTAACCATGCATTTCTAGTTAGAAAAAAATCAGAAGACTTAAGCTTATCAACTAGCAACTTTTAAAGGCAGTGGTTCTCCAACCCAAGTCTGGGGAAGAATCCCCAGGCAGATTCCTGGGCCCACCCCAGAGATGCTGACTTTGAAAAGCCTGAGTCAGGGCCCAAGAATTTGCATTTTTAGCCAGGGATTTAATTTTTAACCTTCACAGGTATTTCTGTTTTAGGGGATTCACAGATCATATTCTGAGAAACACTGTTCAAGGGAGCACACAAGTTGTGGTTAGAGACTTAAAACTTACCCAAGGTTATTATCTGCAAATAACTTTCCGTGCACATATACCACACAGATATACACTTATACCTACACATATACGTATGTATATATACATATATATTTTAAAATTTGAATTGAAAATAACAATTGCTTAAGAGATTATAATTTTGTTTCATGAATCCCTGTCTCCAAAATATGCATGCATGTACATCACACTTCATCAAACTCACATCCTAAAGTAACTGCATTAGTCCATGTGGCAAGGTCTCTGATTTTTAGGTTATTGGTTGAGGTCTAAACTGTATGTTGATTCTGTCTGCACTAAGTACAGGAGAGGATATATACTCACCTAATTGCTAGGACCCACCTCTTTTCCACTAAACCCACATTTTAGCTCCTTAAGACACTGGGGCTATCAAAGAGAACTGGATCGTTGAAGGGGCAGATGCCCATCTGACCCCCTTCATATCCAAGCTCATGATCAGCATTGGTTCACATGAGTGATGATCCAGAAGTCATCAAGGTATGGAAGGGAGAAGGGCTGTCTCTAGGAGTCTGGGGAGTTCTCAAACTAATTTCCAGGGAAAAGGAACATAAACATGGGGACTGCTACCTTTGGAAGGCCACCTGTGGTAGTTTAGGACACAGGCCAAGGACTTCACAATGAAATGTGAGCATGCTTCTCCAAAAACATCCACTCTACTATCTGCTTCTTGTCAGTGCACTCAGTCTGGCTACCGTGGTCTATACCCATTGCTTCTCTATTTAAAATTGTGTACACAAATCGCATTGTGTCATCATGTTGACACGCATTCTGCATTTAAAGCCATATTTGGGTTCAAAGTATACCTATCTGTTGACTTAGAAAGAAGAGCAGCTTAGTCTTGGCTTGTGCGTTTCTTCCTACCCCTTCTAGTTTGTCCAAGTTACCCCTGGATCAATTAGGCTGGTATTGAAAAACACACATAGAAATGCTAAGTGAATTGTTCCTCAGGTGCATTTCTATGTGGCCTGGGAAGAAACCTGAAAAGCTTTTGGGCATGGGGTAAGTTCCATTTGCTTATGTCTTGTTTATTTGACTTGATTAAAACTAAAAGGCTTTAAACAAAAAACTGTTTAAAGAATTCTCAACTAATTTCTTTTTAGGCAACTGGTATTTTGCCTGCTTGCCAGAATGACTGTCTTGTTTAAACTGAAAAGGTTAAACAAAAAATACTTCCCTCACTCTTATACATTTACAGAGTAGATTAATGAACACCCAATTATTTGGGGAATATGTCAACAGAACAATTATTTACCTGACCCGTCTCTTCAAATCTTTTTCTGTCTGCACTGTCAATTACATATATCTGTAAAATAAAAGAAGAAAGTTACTTTATAGGCAGACATGGAAAAAGACAGGGCAACTTCTACAGAAGGAGCAGATGATCCCCAATCAGATTTCACACTGGCACAGCATATAGAAACTGAGATGGTAATTCTTAGCTCATCTATGGATGCAAAATAAACCAATTAATTAATTAATTAGATGGGGATGCCAGAAGATACCTTCAGCAAAGCTCCAAAGTAGGAAGTCAGGAGAGCCAAGCAGGATAAAAATAGCTACATTTAATGGGTTCTCACTCAACACTGATACTAGGTTTACCCTATGAATCCTCATTATCACTCTATGAGATAGATTTCATTGTTATCCCATTTTTAGGCACAAATAAATGTAAGCCCAAGGGCACTAAGTAACTTGCTGAAGTTACAGCTGGTACATGACAAAATGGGGTTCAAACTCAGGCATACCTGACAGTAAAGTCCATAGTTACTCTTAAACACTGTGCTGTACTGTGTCCCAAATTGTCAGGGAGGGATGGTGTTTTGAGGCATTTACAAATCCTATAGTCCTCAAACAGCATCACTCTGTAAGTAGTATTTTTCAGTATTAACTGCACGGTGTCTTCAGGTACTGGGAGAGGAGACCCAGTGATCTCCATCCCACTCCTACCTGCCCAGGCTGGGAGGTTAAGATCAAATCCTTGAAACAGCAAGGGCATTGGCTTTGCCAGAGTAAGAGAGGTTTTGAGATTTACTGTAAATTACAAATCCCAAGCTTTCTCTCCCTCCCATGACTGAATTTTATTTATTGGATAAATAACATTATAAAAACAATAAGGGAAATATGGTAAGACCAAAAAGAAAGAAAAATCACCAATAGTTACAGAACCCAAGCACATTATTTTAATTTCCTATGAAAGTTTCCTTCTAATTCTTCTTCACATGAAAATTAAAAAAGAAAACTAGAGATATAATTTTGTGGTCCTTTTTTAAATCAGTGTATTAAATGTTTTCCCAGTTGCTAATCTTAAAAATTATCAAAATTTCAAACTTTCTTTGAAGAAGTTAGAATTGTTATTAAACTAATGGTGTAATGGAAACGCTCTTTTGAAAATATATTCATTTAAAAACCACATGAAAAACAATCTTCAACTACCACTTTTATGTGTCTTAAAGTCCTGTGCTACTCTGAAAACTTGCTGTCTTTTGAAAGAAAAAAAATTAAAATTCCTTTGCTTAATGCACTATCATATAGAGTCACTAATGCAAAATATTATACTGTTTTGGTCTCAGTATTTTTTTTGCAGCCTTATTATTGCTGCTGTTGTTAATATTGCTCTGACTCAATGTCAGTGCACACCACAGAGACACAAAATCTGATACTGGCTGGGGAACATGGTGGTACCTTAGTTTCCACTGGTGGGGCTCACATTTGTAAAGGAGCAGGCATTCCATAAACATAGATGCAGAAGGAAGGGATGCAATAGGAGAGTGAGCCCAATCCAAAAGGCCTGATTAGAACTACTTGGGAGTCCACAGTGTATTAGGATGAGCTTCACTCAGGCAAGAGTGCGAGACAATGTGACGGAGGGAGGAAGGGTCAGGTGATCACTGGGAGGGTGTTCAGGGCTCAGAGGGCTCCCGCAAGGCTGCGTGCAGATCACTGGGCAAGAAAGGAATTTCAAAACAGGAAAAAATGTACTTGGGAGCGAAGGGTGTGAATAAGAAGATAAAGGAAGAAGAGGCTGAGAATGCAATTAAAGATACAATTAAGAAATCGATGTTTGATATGATGAAAAACAGTTGAGAGAGAATAATGAGGAACGGAAAGACGGTTTTAATAGGAGGCAAGAAAGATGATCAGTCAAATACCGGAGGCTGAAGGCCAATGAGAAGAAAGTTTTAACTTTTTCTTTAATTACTTGCTATTTATTGCTTTGACATAAAATTTCACAAGAAACATTTTCATTGAAAGATTCAAAAGGAGGATTTTCCTCAATTATACATAAATTCTTCCTATCCTTTAGCGTTTTTCTCACATAACTTTTATAGAATTTGAAAATTACTGCACAGTAATTCCAGGAGGAAGGCTATAAAACAACTGCCCCATTTATTAAAGGGGCCAAGTGAAAAAGTCGTAAGCACAAGCTAGTCTGGTGATCTCACAAACTTGTTTTTCTGCGGTGGCATTCACTTCTCCTGGTTAGCCCCGCAAGGTGCTGCCCAGTTTCTTCATGCAAGTGTCTGTTTTCTTCTGGTCAAGAGCTAAGCATAAGGAGAGTGTCTTTTTCTTTCTTTCTTTTTTTGGTTAATAATATAGGTATTAATCTAGCAGTGTAAAATTTTTTTAAAAAATTTAATCCGAATACAAATAACCGATTAAAAATACTCAGAAAGTATCAGAGAAAGTTAGATATGGTGCTTCTGACTGATCTTAAAACATTATGGACCTTCAAAACTTAACTTTCATGAACCTATTCTAAAATGAACTTATCATCCATGGCACTCAGAATGAGAATGAGGCTTTAAGCAAAGCCAATTCATATCTTCCTTGGCAACTGCTTTGAAATTTTTACTTGGTTGCAGGAGGAAGACCTAGAGAAAAAGACTTTTTCTGGATGGAAGTTCAGCCAACTTTGGATTATCTGGAGACTGATCGTCCAGCCTGTGAATGGAGGACTCTTTGATTCTCCACTTGCTTCTGGTACTCCTCCCTCCTACCGCCACCTTTTGGCCATTTTATTGCTCCTAAGTATTTCTCCGCTTGAGGGGTAGGTGGAGATGAGAAGAAATGACACGAAAAAGTGTGACTTTTTATTGACTGCTTGAGCAGAAGTCTAAGAGGAGGTTGAAACTGACAAATGAGTTTTCTGGATAACTTGCAGTTTTCAATTATTTGTGCTTTAGTAGTACTGATGATCAAGTGTGAGTGATGTTATGGAAAAAATACAAGACATGGTTGTTCGAGCTCTGTCGCACTTAATGTCCTTTGGATATGGAAATGATGACAACCTAGTTTACATTATATTGTGTTTAAACACAAAACTAGTAATGATAAAGTAAATGGAGTTTGATGGTAAGATGAATATATAACTTCCAAAAAATAATGTGTTTTTATCTATCAAAAGGCTGTTATTTCCTGGCATAAGAGAAATGGAAGACATCCTATCTCCTCCCTTCTGCCATACCTCAGGGTTAATTTCTTAGTCACTTCCCTCAAATTAATAAAGCTGAAGTCAGATGTTCTCAATGTCATCATCCCTGAGAATAACTCGGGCACTTTTAGGAGTTGCTCTGCCTCTTTCAAAACTCTAGAGAAACATAATGTGCTAAAGTGGGACTGGCACTCTTTTTCTGTAAGGGGTCAGGTAGTAAATATTTTAGGCTTTTTGGCCCACACCATTGATTGCTTTCACAACTACTGAACTTTGCTGCCATAGTGCAAAAGCAACCATAAAAAACATGTAAACAAATGACGTGGCTGTGTTCCAAGAGAACTTTATTTATGGACTCTAAAATTTGAATTTCATATCATTTCCACGTGTCATGAAATCTTACTCTTCTTTGATTTTTTTCAACCATTTAAAAATGTGAAACCATTCTTAACTCATGGGCTATACAGTAACAGGAGGCAGGCTGGATCAGTTTGTCGACACCTGCTCTAAAGCAGGAATCTATTAGGCACTCTAGGGGTAACTGAGGAAGAGTTAACCAGGCAATGAAATGTGTCAAGCCTCAACCCTGCTCTTCTAGGCAGTGTGGAGTCTAGGATAATAGGTCTTTTCCACCAAAAATGGAAGACTATTAAATACAGACAAACAAACAGATAGAACCCATCCACCACTGCCACTCCAAGCTGCTACAAAATGGGCAGAGAGGGCTAAGAGTCACTGGGCTTTAGAATCTAATCCTGGGGATCCAGCTGCTCCCCAAGACTTGTTTAATCTGAAATGGCACTGGAATATAACAAAAGGATGAGTCCAAAGTACTGTCTGTCACAGGCAGCATTATATAGCTGGAGAATGCCCCTCAAGGGATACTCTGAACTGATTTTTGCTGGATTGTACGATAATTCCTGCACGCTCTCAGCGAATGAGAAGTGTGGAATGCAGGGTCAGATGACAACTCCCTGGCAGTCTACCCTCAAGGTGTTAGGGCTTATGATTTAAAATTACTCCGACCTGTAGACCAGAAGGTTTCTGAGGCCTCCTTATGGAACCTCACAGTCATCAATGTCCTTATTGACAGCTCTTATGTGGACATTTCTTTCAAAGTACCACATCCAGCAAATGAACAGATAGCACTATGATTTCTCTCCATCACCTGCTTTTTCTAACTCTTGACTCAAAAAGCAAAAGAGAACCTATAGCTTTTTCTTCCCCTAGTTTTGCTGAGATATAAATGGCATGAGCCCTGTTTAAGGTGTGCAGCATAATGATTTGACTTGAATCCATGGTTTTTGTATATTAACCTTATATCCTGCAAATAAGCCTTGCTATAATCACTTATTAGTTCCAAGAGTTTCCCTCTTGATTTTTGGGGTCTGAAAGAGTTTTAATGTTCAGTTTTTTGAAAATGTAGTTTCAGATTACTATTTAGGGACTGATGTCTACATTTCAAGTATTTGTGAGTGAAATAATACATACGATGGCTTGGATTTGCTTTAAAATACTTTAAAAAAAATTGGTGGCAGGGGAGATGAAACAAGATTGCCAAAACTGAAATTAAGGAAGCTGGATGATGGGTAGGTATCTGGGGTTTCATTACACTATTTTTTGACCTTTGCATAAATTTGAAAATTTTAAAAATTATATTTCAAAAACAAACACATTATTTGACATTACAGAAGTTTCTTTCCATATTAAAGAGAAATTTTCCTTTCCCCACCAGCATTTCTCTTCTATTCCCCTAGAAGAAACTACATAATACATTTTGGCAGAATAACTGGTTGAATAGATTAATGGATGGATGGATGTGTCTCATCTTTTTTCTTCTTATCCATTTAAACCTTCAAACTGGCACCAGGAATATACTGGAACTGACCTTCACCAAAGGCCAGAAATATGATAAGCCTGTATGACACCCATCTCAGGACCTCAAATTTGTTTACTGATTTGATGATAGCACCATTTAATATTTTGCTATTATTCTCCATTTGAGAATCGTGATATGTAAATTAATTCACTACTTCTCATAAACCCTCTGTGAAGCAGATGCTCTACCCAGTTCACAGAATTAATGAGCCCCTGGACTTGACCACAATGGTACAGAATCATAGAACCTCAGAGTTGGAAGGGAATTTAGAAGTTGTAGAACTTCTCATTCTTCCTCATGTCAGAAACAATTTATAATAATTATCCATTGTATTTATTTGGTAATTTTCTAAGCTCTGGGGATACAACAGTTGAAAAAAAAATAAAAGAAAAGCAAAGTTCCTATCTTCTTGGAGCTTCCATTACAGTGGGGGAGAAAGATAGTAAAAAAAAGTATGTCTGAAGTGAGGGACGCGAGAATATCTACGGAAAAAGAATTCTGGCATGGAAGTAGTGATGACAAAGGCCCCGAGGTGGGAGCACGCAAGTGTTCAGGAACAGCAAGGAGGTCAGAGTGGCTGGCCCTGGGTGACAGGGGGCAGAGGAGTCAGAAGGCAGGGGCCTTGTGGGCCACTGTGAGAACCCTGGCTTTTGTTCTGAGATGGGAAGCTTATGTTTTAATAGGATCTCTACAGCCATAATGTTGAGAAGAGACTTCAAGGAGGCAAGGCAGAAGTTAGGAGACCAGTTAGAATGATGGCGATAATCAATGCACGGTGGCAGTGGAGGTGGAGAGAAGTGGGGAGGTTCTAGATAGACCCTGAATTGGCTGATGGAGCTGATGCGGGGAGTGAGAGGAAAAGGAGCCCAGGCTGAGTCTGGTGCTTTGGGGTGAATGGGGCTGTCACTTACTGAGAAGACTGAAGGAGAAGCAGGTTTGGGCAGGGGCATATGAAGACTGGAATTTAGTTTTGGACACGTTGAGGTTGAGGGGACTTACAAGTCACCGGTGTGGAGATGTCAGATAGGCAGCTGGTTATATATGAAACCAAGTTCCAGGCTGGAGGTAACAGTTTGGGATTCACCAGGTGGGGGTTAACGCCCTGAAACTGGATGAGGTCACCTCAGCAGTGATTAGAGAAAAGCACAGGCCGGGACTCAGGGGGCCCTCCCATACCTGGAGGCTGGGAGACAAGGAAAAAATAGCAATGGAGATGGAGGAGGAGGAGTCAGTGAGACAAGAGGAAAACCAGGATAGAATGGTACTCTGGAAGCCAAGGAAAGACAATGCCTCAAGGACAGCACCACAGCGTTGTTAAATGTGCTGATAGGTCAAGTAAGGTGAGTAGTGAAAACTGAACACTGAACTTGGCAACGTGGCTCTTCAGGGAGGCTGAATGGAGAGTTCCGAGGGACCTGGGGGAGAGAGAAGACAGACAGCACAGAAAACTCTTTTAAGGAGTTTTGTTGGAAAGAGAGGCTGAGGAATGGGACAGTATGTAGAGGGGGATGTACAGTCAAGACAGGAGTTTTTTGTTTTTAAACAAAAGAAACTACAGGATGTGTGCCTGCTGGCAGGAATGAGCCTGTCACGTAGAAAGAGACGCATAGGAAGCAGCAGCAGAGAGTGGCACTATTTGAGATTCCAGGTGAGTCCTATTGGTAAGGAAGATACTGACCTGTTTTTGCAATTTATTGTCCATGGCCATAATTAAACACAAACTTTCAGTCAGAGGTTAATGAAAATTATATACAACTTTTTTTTCCTATGCAAGTTCATGAGTGGCCCTGGTTTGAGGATATGATCATGAGAGTGAGTGGCTGAGGTGGGGTGGATGACAAGATTACTAGAGGGGAGGTGGCAGAGCTGAGGTATTAACGAAATCTCCCAGAACCCTGACACAGTCTTAGAGAACGGGGCGGGGAGCTGGGAGCTAAAATCTCGGCCTGTGCCTGATGATGCTGTCTGAGCTGGGGAATCCCCAGCAAGTGAGGCGGCTTCTTCTACTTCTGGACAGCTTACGATTACTAGAAACTTCTTGCTTATTCTAAGTTAAACCCTACCACCTAATACTCCTCAAACTGCTCCTTGCCCAGTCCTCTAGAATGATTCACAATGAAGCTAATCTCTCTGACTTGAGATAGTTCTTGAAGCAACTGGAGACGGTTCCAAGTGTTCTCTTTTCCAGGAAAGATATCATCAGGTCTTTCAACCATTCCTCATACATCATGGTTTGTCTCCAGGCTTTCACTATCTTGGTTGCTCTCTTTGGGATACACTTGGTTTGCTGATTTTCTTGGCTGACGAAGTCAATGGTACAATCTTCTGACTTCTCTTCTGCTGTTCAAGTCACTATGGTAATTAATAAATACTTTGTTTGCCAAGGGTGTGGCCAAAACATTGTTACTGAGCAGCAAAACATCTTATACAAGTTACACAAAGCTCCACAATCCGGAGCCTTCTGCTAGCCCTAAATTCACAGTGACTGAGAACAACGTTACAGCAATGGAATTGTTGACAAGAAAAGAACATGACAGTGTTCATGACAGAAAAGGCTATGAACTGATGCATCAGAAGGAGTACTTACCAGAATATCAGTGTTTTCAAAATAATTCCTCCAGTATGGTCTGATTTTTCTCTGTCCACCAATGTCCCATACATTCAGTTTAAAACCTTGTGATTGTACACTTTTGATGTTAAAGCCCTGAAACAAAAAGACCAAGCTGTATTAGGCTTTGAGAACATAACTGACAAAGTTACATTTAACAGCTATGTTATTTATTCTGAGATAATCCACCAGATGTGACACTGATGATACTGAAAACAGTTTGCTCTGATAAGGAAGAAAGAACTGTATCTATATGTGCTTACATCATTCAGTGTCGAGTCAGTGTTGATGACGTCACAGTGAGTACACACACAGACACGAAACTGCTAAGGATGACTTGGTATGAGATATGATCAAGGGGGAGGGTATAGCTTCAGTGGTAGAGCACATGCTTAGCATGCACGAGGTCCTGGGTTCAATCCCCAGTACCTCCTCCAAATAGAAATAAATTAATAAACCTAATTACCTCCCCCTCATAAAAAAAAATGAGATCTGATAATCAACACAGTCACACCCTCTGAAAGGTGGTAAAATTTAATAGGACGTTACATGCAGCTAACAAAAACCCACAGCTGAATCTGCAGACGCAACAGAACAGAAAAAAAATGCTAAGTTTAAAAAGAGGCAAGAGCTACAATCTGAAAGACTGGATTCTTAAAGAGTAACTTGAAATTAAAGAAATTTCCTCATACGGATTGATCAGGCAAAAGGAGGAGCTGAACTCAGGAAGTGCACAGGGAGGCTGGTTTGTAACTGCAGTCGCAGCCTGTGAGGGAGGCAGTCCTGCTGGGACAGCATGTTTGAGCTCTGAAGTGGTTACAGGTGGTGATGAGAACAAACAAACATGCAGGCATTTGAAACTTCTTTAATAAGTATCTCTGATGAACTTGAATAGAAAAAGTATTTGTTTTCAGGACAGTGACTCAAAGTGGAACTTCGGGGAAGGTGAGCCCATCGGGCAGGCAGAATGGTGAGCTGGAAGTTAGTGTGCAAAGAAACTAACAAGCCCTTTGGGTTTGAAGAGAAGGCATTTCATGAACAAGAATTGTTTAAAAATCTTCCACACGTTACTATATATAAAACAGATAAACAACAAGGTCCTGTATAGCACAGAGAACTGAATTCAACTTCTTGTAATGACATATAATGGAAAAGAATCTTTAAAGAAAATATACGTATGTATATTTAAAACTGAATTGCTTTGCTGTACACCTGAATCTAACATTGTGAACTGACTACAATTCAGTAAAAAAAAAAATTGAGGGGGAGGGTATAACTCAAGTGGTAAAGCACATGCTTAGCATCACAGGTCCTGGGTTCAAACCCCAGTACCTCCTCTAAAAATAAATAAACCTAATTATCTACCCCCTCAAACAAATTAAGTTAAAAAAAAATCTTCCTGTAAGAAAAACAGAGTGAAATCAGGATTTGAAAAATCCAGTCAACAGCTTGCTCCCACAGAAGTGACATCTCACCCGGAAGAGGTGGAGTTAAGTGGGTCTGGGGATGCCGCCATATAAACCCACCTCTTTGGGCAACTCGCCAGGGCTATTGCCTCGCACAGAAGGACAACCCACAGTGCCACTGGACGGGAACACTGCCACCCAATTTCCACTGTAGATAGTCACCACAGAATAACTGGCGATGATGCTGACTACAGCGCCTCTAAAATGACAATGACTGAATAAATGAGAAGTTTAAAAACTCTTAGGGGAAGTAGCTTAAGCTTACTGTAAAAGGCAGCTTCATTCTGACTCATTGACAAAACCGCTTTTGTGTATTTAAAAATTCTACACTAACTACAATATTAAATGTCAAACCCAGTAGCAACAAATCCTTTCTGAGATGAAGCAGGGAATAAATAAGAGTAAATCCTGGAGTTTGACCATATGTATCAACTGCCTTAAAATTCTGGATGTCATCAGACCTAAAAAATCTACCAATAAATTATTCTAAGGAAATAATAATGAGTGGGTAAGAACATCTAGAGATGTGTATTGTATAAGTATTTACATATAAAACAATGAAAAAGATGATAGAAAACAGTATACTCTCCATGAGCCATTTTTATTCTTTATTTTAAATATACCACCATATAGGTGAAAAGAAAAAAACTGATAGGATATATTCTTAAATGTTAACAGTGGTTAGGTCTAACAGGCATTATAGGTGATTTCTAGTTTCTCTCAATTTTACCATTTATACTTCTAAATTTACTACAATGAGCATCTATTTCTTGTTCTAATATAAAACAAAAACACTATAAAAGTTTGTTTTTCAAGACTAGATATGAAACCTTGACATAATATGGTAACAGAGCCACCCATAATACATCAAACAAAGCCTGAAAGTTAGCATTGGAACTTTGCATCTACAACTTGGATTTCTTTTCCATGTTCGCAGCATGAAAGTCCTCATTTTAGTGGTGCTCTTAAGAGATACAGACCATCAATGATACTGAAAAAACCTCTCGCCCTTCTTTTTCTGGCAGAAATCCTGACACATTAATATGTGTTTTTAGCCCTTCTAGGCTAGACTACTGTAATTTGCTCCTCCTAAGGCTATACATTAAATTTGTTCAGAAGCTGTAAAATTGCTCATTTGGTAGCAGTTGAAATGACTTTTCTGCAAAGAACTGCGGATCAGTAAGACTTGCAGGCCGTGAAGTACACACACCAGCACAGTCCTTTAAACCTGACACCAAGCTCTTATCACAGGATAGTGACAGAAAATGCTAAGTAAGTCTGGTTTTGCTAAAACCTCTAATGCTCAAACACTTTAATGTGACTAACACAAATACGGCTGTCCCTAGTTAGGAAACCCAAAGGCCTGGCCAAGGGTCAAGGTTTCTCAGGATTTCCTGCAGGGAACGAGGCCTACAGAAGCCCCCTAGAATGCTTCCAAGCCAGCAGCTGTCTCTGACTTTCATGCTGGGAGCACAACCATCCCTGTGTTTTGCTTGCTTAGCCTTAGGAAAGAGGAGGGTTGATGAGGCTGGATTAAAAAATATAGGTTTGTTTTTTTTTTACTTTAAAAATGGACATATATTTGTATTTATTTATTAAGTCTAAAAAATACACACTAAAAGTGTTTTTCTCACAGTGCTCTGGGTTTTTTTCTTTTATACTTTCTCTGTATTTTCTACATGTATTAATTTCAAAATCAGAGAAGATAAAGCTATTTCTAAAAAGGAATCACTTAACAGGAAACTATGTTCAATACTTTGTAATAGACTATAATGAAAAGAAATTATATATATAAAGAGAGAGAGAGGGGTTTAACTGAATCACTATGCTGTACACCAGAAATTAATACAACATTGTAAACCGACTATACTGCAATTAAAAAATAAATAAATAAAATAAAGAATAGAGTCAGAAGGAGAAAATGAAAATGAAAAGGAATCACTTAGATCTGAGGGAACTGATTGTATCTTGATATGTATAGACATACATTTATTTAAATTATTTATTTTAAAAATTGTTGTAAAACATATATAACATAGAATTTACCATTTTAATTATTTTTAAGTATGCAGTTCAGTGGCATTAAGTACATTCATACTGTTGTGCAACCATCACCGTCATCCATCCACAGAACTTTCTTCATTTTGTAATGCAGATTCTCTGAGCCCATTAAACAGTAACTCCCCATTCTTCCTCTTCCAGTCCCTGGTAACCACTATTCTACTTCCCGTATGTAGGAATTTGACTACTCTAAGTATTCCATAAGAAATAGAATCTCTTGATATATTTTTTGAAATTTGAGATTATTTCTAAATTTTTAAATGTAGACTTTTCTCAGTAACAAAACTTACAAATGGATAAAACCCTACATCCCATTTTGTCTTTCACATTGTTATTATCATCTTTCGTGTGTCACACAAGCCTCTGGGGCAAGGCCATGCTCACCTGTGTAGGTGTGATGTGGCTGATGTCTTCAGATGCAAGCTGCTTCAGAAGAGTGGTCTTGCCAGCATTATCCAAGCCCAGGAGAAGGATTCTCACCTCCTGGTCTGGTGCACTTTTCAATTTGCGCAAAATTGAGAGTAAGCCCTTGAACAATCATGAAGCAGAGAGATTACTTTGGGGGCACTGACTTTGATATTACTGGATATCAGAACATCTTCTCCCCTTGAAAAAAGTTCTTGGTTGTGGAGAGCTTACAGCATGATTTTCCACTTTAATGTCATTTATTCCATTTGCTTATAAGTTTTGTTAGAAGTACTTTAGTAAATTCAGTTTTGTTAGAAGTACTTTGGTAAATTCAGCAACTTAATAAATAGCCTGGCTTATTCCTGCTCCTCCTATTAATCCAGCTTAGCAGTCACCCCAAATCTCCTGGGAGTATGTTCTACACACCAACTCATGTTCCTAAAGCCCTGTATATACACGTAGAGTAGTGCACTCCTCATATCAAACTATAGGGAATTGATTTTTGTATTTTTCTACTTTCTACTAGAGTGAAGTTTCTTATGGGTAAGGACTATAGCTCCCATCTCCCACAATGCCTATCACTTAGTAGACAGACACTAGATGACAGCTGTTGAATTAAATAGAATTATCTACCCAAGTTAATGCAAGATTTTAAGGTACTATACAAAAAAAAATTCAAAAAGGTTGCATAAAATTGTATTTGGGCTCTCTGTTTAAGACTATTTCAGTTCTTGTTCAAGACTTCATCATCCAAAATACTCTACCATCACTTAACTTTCAAAAGACCCTTACAAGATAGCTGAATGGTATAGATTATTGATGTTTTTCAGATGAAGAACCTAATATAACAGAGAAGGTACGGAAATGAAAGGTCACTCTGGAAGCAAAAAACATCACAATTTAACCAGGGTATTTTTGACTAGTAATCTAATGTTTTTGTTTTCTGTTTTTATTACTATTCTTTCAGTGGATGGAAATAAGCCATGTTGTTTTTTAGCTAAGAACATAAGAAAAATCTTACAAGATAGTTATTTGTTCTGTCTTACAGCTGACGATCATTTTCCAATGAGGCATAGTTACATCAAGAATCAAATTCCAGATTTTAAAGGGCATATAATCTAATCTCCCAGCCTAAGCAGAAATTCCTTCAAACTGAGTCTTAGAATTATATAAAATGGCTGTATTTTTTATCCACATCCCACCAGGCAATAATTTAAACCAGTCTGTTCACTAAGATCAAATGATAATTCTGTGAAATAATTTCCAACAATTGAGTCTTTGGACAATGATATGCAAATATGCATAATCATTAAGAATTCCTTTTGCTTCAGAGACCCTTTGTTTACCACTTCAGTACTATATTCACACTGACCACATTAACCTCTTTGTGCCTCAATTTTTGCCAGCAGTAAAACGGAAGGTTTTGTTTCAGACAGACAGACAAATTCTACCCCAAAAGATCTGGGGAAGAGAATGAATAGATTTGAAACAAACAAACCAACAAAGATAAGCAGGTCTTTTTTATGGCATGTTTTTTCCTTTGTTTTTATCTTATCTGGCCTTGAATTATTTGATACCATTCCTTTTTAAAACTCTATTTATGAGTAGTCTCCCTGGCTTCTATTAGCTACATTGCAATCACTCATTTATAATACCACCTTTCAGAACAGTTAAAATTAGAATTCTAAGATCCTCAGGGGACTGGTGATATAAAAAGGCTAAGAACAGGGAAAACACATTGTACTACTCCTGAGTCCCTGATTAGATGTCCTCATTACTCCTTCCAATAAAACTCTGAAACAACTGGAACTTATCACATTTGTGTATTAAATGATGGTACAGGTAAAGTTCTCATGCATCATTTATTAGTGTAGAAACTGTGAGAGAAAGTCTGTTCTCTGTAAAATAGTGTCAAGGTTCAAAATAAATGTTTTGGATTTTTCTCATGTGTCTCTTTAAAAGAATCAGTAAATACAAATACTGCTTTCTACAGGCTGAGAGTTTTCACACTCTCATTATATTTGAAATTATATGATTAAAAGAAAAACATAAATCTTAGTCATCCTAAAAGGAGAGAAGCAAAGCACAGGAGAGAAAGAAACTATTCTAATTACAGCTAAGCTTTATTAACCTAATGTCATAAAAAATAATACTCCATTTTCAATGAGCAATCTTCCTCACCAGGAAACAGTAACTTCACATGTTTCACCTTTACATGAAATTATAGAGAGATGGAAATTTCAGCTAATGTTTTCTTCCAGCAAAATGACAAATGGCATCTCAAGAATGGTCTAGGCAAGACAAATGCAAATACAATACAGCATCATATTAACCCAACTCCTGAGGACAGGGGATCACAGGATTATCAGGGTTTGCTAAATAGGGAAGAGGATATTTATAGATATCAGGGTTCTGCCTGAAAGGTACAAAGTAAGCTGATTTAAGAGGCTGGACAAAAGAGCAGAATAAGTCTATTCTACGCTTTTATCCATATATGTCTACAGCTTCTTTCAATGTCAAATGAAGGGAGACAGCCATTAGAAGTTAATTCTATTATGGGTCTGAGTTTTGCAGTATAAATACAAGAAAGTGAATTTTTAGTCAGAATAGCCACTCACTCATTCATTTATTCATTCATTCATTTATATTAAACACCCGTAACGTGCCCCAAGAACAACAATGAGCAAAACAGACATGATCTCTATGCAGAATTGTACTCCTATGACATTGAATAAGGGCAATTTAAGAAACAAGAACTTTAGTTCATTGTATAGTGTGTGTTATCAGCATCCATGCATACAAGTTATCTGCACCCTGGTGGACGGAATTGGTCTGACTCAGAAAACATTTAAACAAACTTTTCTACAGGCAAATCATGAATAGTGTGCTATTGACTATGGAAATTTTATCTGCCTCAAAATCAGCTTAAACTCAACTACTGGCAGAGGCATGGTGCACTGACCTACAATGATACAAACTAGGTCATTCAAAGAAACTGGGGTGGTGGAGAGGGAGAGAGGAATGTGTTGGTATATGGAAAATGGATGTGGCTGTGAGGAAGAGTGAAAATGTAAGTATTAAAATTAGTTACGGGGAAGGTACAGCTCAGTGGCAGAGTGCAGCATGAGGCCTTGGGTTCAATCCCCAGTATCTCCATTAAAAAAATAATAAAATAAAATAAAATAAGTAAGCCAACTTCAAGTACACACACTCCCCATAACTAGCTTAAATGTAACTGACTTTAATGTATTTTTACCTTACCAAAAAAAATTGGTGCTGCCCAGTAAGACCTTAATAATTTCCAGAAACATGGCTTTGAAAGGGAGAACCTCACCGAAACTTTGTCTTCTTTCTCCTCTCTCTACTAAATAAATACAGTGTTTCCTGAGGAACATAATAGGGGCATCTCCTATTATTGAAGTGGGTTCCCACTTCATCAAAGTCCTAGTGAAAGGAACATGATGGGCTTTAGAGTTTCATAGACTTGTATTCAACTTCCCTATGTATAACCTCCCCCACAGTTCCATCTAGAAAATGGGAACAATATTTATAGCTCCAGAAAAATGCTATGAAGATTAAATGAAATAATACATGTAAAGCATGCACATAGGAGGCACTCAAAGCAGTAATTGTGTTTATGTTTTTCTACTCTTCACTGACCATTTCGGACTAGAAAACATAATCTTGGGAACAGTCTTCAAATGTCAAACATGCTTGATAACTACCACTAGGTTTATATATATATAATATATATAATAATCCATAATAATTCCTGAATGAAGGACTCATGTATTAAATAACAGTGATTAGTTACAAACAAAAATTACTGTTATTTTAGTATTTCACCTGCCTTGGTATCCCAAGTCAGGAATAGTTGACCCTAGATGTTTAAAGAAACCAATAACAGTTTTTTGTTTGCGTACTCCAAATTAAAAAATTATAAATATGTATTAGTCATAGCTCAAGGATTAAAAAATAATAATAAACCTGGGACTCACTCTTCACTTGTACAGTTACAGGGCTCAGGGGATACCAGATGTGACACACTTAATCACAACACTGACCATTTAAATTCCGTGTTCCACTTTCAGTTCTAAAAATAGCTCACACTTTTGGAGATAGGGGAAAAAAAGTATTTTGGAAACTAGATAAAGAATCCTGAATAATTTGTTCTAATTTCTTATTGTTCATTGTAAGAAAAAAAAATCTGTCTTGCTCATTGAATACAACATTTGTATACAACAGTGTTGTATACAGTGACAATTTGTTGTATACAGTGTCAATTTGCACCTGGAAACATGAGCCATGGTTAATTTATTGTGGTCTGTAATTATAAATTAAACAATTGTGGAATTATGTAGTCCATTTAATTGATAAACTGGGAAAAGTTAGCCAACTTCAATGTGTTTATGAGGACATCTCTTTGTTGGTTTGGTATGTCTTTTTCATGTCAATTCTAGTTATTTTCTCTGTAAATATTTATATTTGTATTCATTTGTTGAGAAAAACTTAGCCTTTGAATGGACAGCTCATGTATAAACGATTAATAAAAAGCAAACATGTAAAAATCTGTTTAGCCTGAGGTTAAAAAAACTGCAATGTAGCAAGTGTTGAAATGTGATTGGCAACTTCAGATCAAATAATTCTACTTCTTTAACAGTCTGATGTTAAATCAATTGAAAATTTTTTTCCTATCAAAATTTACTCATTGAATAATCTGACCAAACGTACATATATTTTTCCCTTGTGGACATCGAGTGTTTTCTTACTTCATAAATCAATTAGAAGTGGTTTAACATTTCTAAAAGTCGAAAAGAGACTGGAGGTGGGGCAGGGAAGTAACTAGAAGTTTTGAGTGCTAGCTCTTTGCAGCTGGTAAACCAACCAACCTGCTCTAAACGCTTCAAAATCAATTCTTTTCTTTGACTAGTTCTAAAACCACTCAATTCCATTTTAACATCCTCCAACTAACTGCAGAGAAATCAGCAAGGAACAGAGCATCAATGGTCAAATATGTCACACATCATAATTTACAATTTGGGAAATCTTTAATTCAGTCTGATCAGAAAAAAGGCTTGCCCCAAATTGATGGCTACTCTCCAGTTTTAATCTGCTCCAAACTGAGATTAAGACCTTTGGTTCTCTATGGTCATATGCAAAAGAAGGTTACAGCAGGTTCCGAAAGAAATACTAAGGACCAGACAGCAAATCTGCCTCCACTGACAGAGATTAATTAAGTATTAAACGGGAAACGGGCCATCACCAACAACCAGACCTTGGAGAACCCTAGCAAAAAAATAACTCGGGACTGCAGAAGCGCGCCCGCCACGCACACACTGAGAAGACGTAAAATCCAGTAGGCACCCCTTCCCAGGGGCACCTCTTTGTATCCTGGGGTTTATACCCTTCCCCCTAGAGGCCCGCGCATAGCGAGGAAGAGAAGAGCTGGGCTACCATCTCCCCTGGTACAGCCAGCGCGGCCTGAAATACAGTGGCGCTGGCCCTTCTCCCCTCTTTTGGCCGGGTGCTGACGAACCCCACTTTCCTATGGCGCGGAGAGGCCGATTCCCTGGGAAGATCTAAGCCTGCGTGCAGAGACTGCTCTCCGCAGCAACTCGGATCCGCCCTCATTCCAGTCCCCAAAGTAATGATGGAGCCCAGGCTCCGTAAGGGGACAACTACGTACTCTTCCAGCCCATTCCCCTAGTTTCGGACCCGCTACAAGCCCCGCCTTCCTCCCCAGGCCCAGATCTCCCTCCAGGGCCCATGCTCGGGGCTCCCCGCCGTCCCCCGAAATCAATCCAGGACCCAGACAGCAGGCTGAGCGCCAGTCCATTCCTGCTTGGCTTTAAACACAGTGCCCAGCCTTGGGCCTGGGGAAGGGAGGCGGGTGACCGACTGGCTCCAGAGGGACCCGAGCCCCCACACTCACCATCCTCCCGCCGAGTCCCTCCTCCTCCACCTCCTCCTCCTCCTCTTGCTGCCTCCCCCGTTACCAGGGGCAACTGCTGCGGCGCCGCCCCCAACGTCCCTTGCACGCACAGCGGAGGCGCAAAGCAGCAGGACGGGGCGGGGTCCAGCTCCGCTTTCCTCAAAGTGCGCAAGCGTGCCAGTGTGCCCGCCTACTGCGCAGGCGGGCTGCTGGAGCGGTTGGAGGCGGTGGCGGGCTGGTGGGGACGCAGGGAATGGTGAAAACTCGCCCACGTGGCTGGCTGGGGCCGCCCGGCCTGTCATTGGTTGGTAAGGAGGGGCGTGGGGGCGGGGCGAGGGGCGGTTCCCGGGCGGAGGCCAGAAGTGCTTCCCGGCCGGCTGCCAACGCGGGCTGCATCTGGTAGCAGCTGTCTCAGTGCATTCCTCCCGGGACCAGGTAAGGAGCCTTGGGAAGAGGCCGTCTGCCACATCTACCTCCAGTCCCCACATTCCGGGAGGGAGCTTGTATTTCTGTGTTGACACTACCCAGACTGGGCTGCGGCTCGGACTGGGCTTCCACCTGCCGAAGCCACGTGGCACGAGGAGGGACAACCTGTGGACCTCTCCTTTATGGCCCCCAGCACTTTCGTGTGCCTGGCTGGGGGACGGGGGCGTCATAGGTTGCGTACCCATCTCCATACACCTGAGTTAGAATCCGAGCTGGAGGAGTCCCGGTGGTGGGAAGGCTGCCTGTCGGAGCGCAAGAAACTGCCCGAGAATTGGCCCTGAGGGCTGGGGTGAGCTGACAGCGGGGGTGAAAGGCGTTTTGGGATGGATGGTTTTGCTGAACTACGTTGGACCGGTGGGTGCACTGTCTGCAATCCTAAGGAGGCAAAAATGGGCCTGCACTTCCAGGCAAGAAAGAGGTATTCTGGGTGCTACCTCCCACCCCTTCCCCGTGCAGAGGACAGGAAGAATTCCCTCATTTGTGCCAGGTCCTATTCCAGACTCTGGAGGCACAGCAGGGGGAAATTACATGGCAAACTGCGTCCTTCCTAGTGAAATGCTTTTCATACAAAATTTCATTTCATCCTCACAACCCTAGAAATTTTAAGCATTAAGAGTGGGGACTTGAACCCAGTTCTGACTTTTGAGGAAGTGCTTTTAAACACTATTCTTGTATTGTCCAGGTAGGAGGAACAGAGTGGTTTATACCTGAGATGTAAACCCAGAAGTTTTTAAGAGCTAATAAAGTGTTGGCACAGATGATGTTACAGCTGGAGGTTTGCAGATGGTGTGTGTGTGTGTGTGTGCATGCGCCTCATTGGGTTCTTGTGAGGATTATATGACTTATTCTATGTCGAGTACACAGAACACTGCCTGGCACACAGGAAGTGCTATATGGGGCTTAGCTATTATTAATAGTTCCATCCCGGTTTTGGACTTTGCTTCTTTTACGACTAGCAGGCTTTCCAGTCTAGTTAAGATCATTCGCATGAAGGCAGATTTTCCTCAGATGGTCCTTAGCTTTTTAGGCATTCAACTAAAGTATTTTTAAAAACGTCTGCCACCTGCATGCCTGCTTCAGATCCTTGGAGAGAAAACTCAGTTCAGAACCTTGACTAAGGAGGTACAAGATGAATGGTTAATTCAGAGCATACACTCCTTCCATCCACCCATCTCTAGCCTGCTGTGTGTGTGTGTGTGTGTGTGTGTGTGTGAGTGTGTGTGAAAAAGGCAAGGCAATCTTCTCTTTCTAAGTTGCCTGATGTCTAACATGGTTGCCTCGGAGTCACATGATTTTACATAGGCATATACTACCAGGACCTGTCGTTTAATTATTAGTCTCATTCTCCAACTTGCTCTAGGCAGCCTGGACGCCAGCTCTCACCATCTCAGTGGTCTTTGTGTCTGAACTTCTTGAGTCTAACTGCCTTGATCTTCCTCTGATGGGAGTACCAGCAATGATGTTTTTTTCTCCTAGTATCTAAGGAGTCAGATAGGGAAATCTTGGGTTACTTCCCCCTCCTCCCTTGCAAGAGGATACCCCAGAAGAGGTTTGGAAACCTGTTTTTTAAGTTCTTTGGGGGTGCTAATTAGGTTTATTTATTTATTTAAAAAAATGGAGGTACTGGGGATTGAACCTTAGACCTCGTACATGCTAAGCATGCACTGTTCCACTGAGCTATACTCTCCCCCTTGTTTTTTAAGTCCTGACAGTGTTTGCCAGAGCAAATCAGCTCTCCCTGGAAGGATGAGCATTACTTTAGGAGAGGGAGTAGGTTATTTCATTGTTTTTTCCTTTCTCTTCCCACCCTTCCTCCCACTTTCCCTCCTCTTTCTCTCTCTCTCTCTCTTTCTTAAGACATGTGCCTTGTAGTGGATAGAGGACCTCTCTAGGTGACCCTAAGCATTGTGACTTTGGGAAAATAAAGTCCCAGCTATTGTTAGATCTTTGAATAAACAGGACTGGATCTGTTTGTTGTTCATGTTTATATCTGCCTCAGTGCAGGACCATGTGTGCCGCAGCTGCTCACCATGCTGGCTCAATCCATGTGAACCTTCCTAGGCATCAGTTTCCTCTTCCGTAAGCTGAGATCTTGGATCCCTAATGTCTTTGAGTTGTGACATTCTCTAATTCCGGAAGGAAAGGGAAGTATTGGTTAACCACCTGTTTGATTTCTGCCTCTCCCCTTGTTCCTTATAGTGCCTTGTTCCTTTTAATGGAACTCTGGACATGATAGTCACCTTTTTAGGAGGTATTAGATATGACTCGTGTGGGAAGAGGGAGCTTAACTGTTGAAGAAAACTTGGAGACCAGATAGGACTCAGTCTAGGACGGTTAGACAAATTTCAGCTTTGTGAAAGAAAGCCTCCTCTTCCTTTTGTAACCAAGGCAGTTTCTGCGTTTGACCAAAAAAGAGAAGAAAAAAAAAAAAGAGGAGGAGGGTACATCCTTGATGCCCAGAGAACCCAAGAATAGGTTGGAATACACTTCAGATAGGCAGGTAGTGTTTTTAGAGGGAAATGAGGGCTACAACATGAACCTTACCGTTCGCCAAGGTTGGCAAATTTTATGCATATAACTGTAAATAACAAGAGTTACAAAAGCCCAGCCTGCTGCGAAGGACAGGATGCTACGGGAGTAAGTACCAGAAGGGCTTGAGTTTGCCCCGAAGGAGTCACAGAACTGTCCCCACTGGGAGGCAGTGGTATGGTGGGGTAAATGTTGAGACATAACATTTAGATTTTTTTTCCCTTTGTTTTACATAAGACAAGGACTGGGCCATTCCTATCCTGACCTTGGTAACAAAGGCAAAGTTTCTTGCTTGATATAGCAAATGATTACCCCTTCACATAGAGGTGCTTGCATTATGAAAAGCAGAGGACTTTCCAGTGTTGGGTTCTTGGGTTGCGGGTGGAGATGGATGTTTGAGATGGGTGTGTGTGTGTTGAGGGGAGGCCCACCAATAGCGTTTGGGACCATCTCCATCTGGTGGGAGTTGGGGCTCTGTAAGCCAAGGCAGCGTGCGATCCTTTCGCTCTTGTCAAGTGAGGGAAAGTGAGTTCTTTCCCCCCTCCCACTCCTGGGTGAAACACCTTTGGTCTTTGGACCAGCCTGCAGGAGCCAAGTCAGCCTGTCCCGGGAGGTCAGAGCCCAGGGCCTTCTCGTGGGCTCTGTGGTGGAGCAGGAGGGGCAGAAGGCAGAATTCCAGCAATGGACAGCTGCTGTGGGGCTTCTGACTTCGCCAGAGGTTGCCAGAGGTTGCTGCTCCGCTTCGGAGTGGAGTCAGGGCCCCTCAGGGGTGGAAACCATGGTGGGCCTCTCCTTCCTCTTGGGGAAGTGACTTACTGGCTTGCTGAAGTCACTCCTACACAGACACAAAAATCTAAAAATTGACCACTGCTCTACCTCTTTCCCTATTTCTTGGCTCTACTCTTGCCTCCTACCTCTCTGGTGGTTCGATTGATCTCATCTTTGGGGGCTTCCTTTTTCTGGGTTGCCTCTTAAATGTAGTGATTTTTCAGGATATGTCCTTAGCTTTCTGCTTTTCCCAGTCTGTATGTTCTCCCTGGGAAACTTTATCTTAAACTACCTCAGTGCTGCTCACACTCTCTTTTACTTCTAACCTAGACCTCTGTGCTGGCTTTTAAACATCCAATTGCTGACCAGCTGAACTTCTTCTTCAGCAGATACTCTAATTCTTGCGCTAGGCATGGGGGCAACAGTAGGGCGCAAAATGGACCCAACTCCTGGCTTCAAGGAGCGTATGGCCTAGTGGGGGAAGGTAGGCATTAATTAAGATAAAACCACCGAGTATCATGACAGACTGGCCAGGCTCTCAAGAAAAAGGAGCCAAGACGGCTTATAGCAGAGCATCTGATGTAGCTGCATGGAGGGAGGAAGGGGGTCCTTCAAAGGATTCTCTGCGGAAAGGAGGTTTAAGCCAAGAGCTGAAGGACAAGTAGATGCTTCCTTGCAGGTAACTCAGACTGTCTCTGGAGAGCAAAAGTCTACTTTGGGGCCCTTGAAGTTCTTTGCTAATGCACCTGCTTTTAAAGCTGCTGTTTATTCTGAGGTAGCTTTGCTGTAATTTCCCTCTGTCATAACCCATGGATCTTTATTAAGGCAGTAGCCTTGAGTAGACGTCTCCTTTCATTTTACTACATAATATAAAACTTTTATTTTTGACTGGGTCTGTGGCTTCCATCAGCGATTTGTTTCCTTTCTGTAATACGTAAATGCTGGTTGTGAGTGCTTTTGGATTTAGGTGATCATATAACTCAAGAAGATAGCCTTTTTTTTTAATTCTTTTTTTGTTTTTTTTTTGTTGGGGGAGGTAATTAGGTTTATTGACTGATTGATTGGGGGTACTGGGGATTGAACCTGGGACCTTGTGCATGCATAGCGTGCACTCTGCCACAGAGCTGTACCTTCCCGCCCCCCCTCCCCGGAAGATAGCTTTTTAAACCTTGCTCAAGCCATGCCTGTGAACTTGTGATTGAATATATGTGGAAAGTCCTCAGTTAAGGTGATTTGTTCCCTCAAGAAAAAAGACAAATGACCTAGTAGTAGAAGATATACAAGTAAATCTGAAAATTATTCCTTAAAAAAAGAAAAAGGATGAGCAGGTGTTATTTAGTGAAAAGGGGAAGGAATAGCCTTCTGGACCGGCATTTGCAAAGGTGGCAGCCTTTGTGTTTAAGAAAGCCTCAAAGCACTTGAAGCTCAACATGGGGAAAAGCAAACTCACTGTTTTCTCCCTCAAAGCCTATATTTCTGTATTCTGTCTTAGCACATTATTGCCTCAGTCAGAAACCCTGGTGTCACTCTAGATATTTGTGATGGATCAGTTTAGCCAGGCCAGAAAAACTGCCCAGGACTCCCTCTCTGCTGTGTTTCCAGTTGGAAGGGGCTTTGAGGGAGAAGCTTCTCCCTCACACACACCTTTTAGT